ACTCTCTTTTCATCTCTAATACACGCCCTCTGCAATTGCAATGAACACCTTTCAAGCAGTACGTGTCAGAAGTTCAAAGCACCTTTCCGGCCCTTACGGTAATTTTTCTATTGATAATTTTTCATTTTATTCCCTTTATTTTTTACGCTTTTCTTTTTGGGGTATGCCGTAGACAATCCTGACGACCTTCACTATATATAGTCATAGTAATCGGACAAGAACTGCAGATTACATAGAATAAAATCTTAGTAAAGGAATACTTGAGGATATTAAAATTTGCTATTATTAGTTGAACAAGTTATTACGGAACGAAAAAAAGCAAATAATCAAAAAGCCCATTAAGCTGTTTAGGCGTTTCTCAGTTTAAGTTTCACTCTCTCTCTCCTTTTTTTTTTTTTTTTTTTTTGGTAACCACTCACTCACCCATTCAAGTATGTCGCGTACACGTGCAAACTTGATAATGATTAAGGAGGAATTGTCGATGAAAATAGCGATTAGAGAGAGTTGGCGCAGGACGATGATAGGTAAAGGCCCGACTTAATATTTTCAATTGCATTGAAAGATCATAAGGCACTGTAAAGGAGCATGAGAAGTGAAAAGTTCTAAAGTTGGAAAGTTGGAAAATATCTTCTTGTTGTGCATTTCATCCCATTTTGACAGTGTCCTCACTTTTAATTCAAATAATAATAGCACAAGTGCGAGAGAGAAGAGAGAGAAGAGAGAGCAGTTAAGACGTTGACTTGTTGCTTTGTTTCTGTCTCGCGCGAGGGCAAAATTCTCGATTTTTCATAAAAGCAACGATACTCTCGTTACGAATTAAAGCATTCTTAAGTAAGTTAATTGTGTTTTTAATTTTTATGCCCCTGATTAGGCAAAAGATCTCGTCGGCGATAGAATTTCAATAAAGCCGAAAGCTTTCAACGCTAGTGCTTTAAGTATTTAGTCTTAAAATTTATTTCTCTCTCTCACTCTCTCTCTCTCTCTCTGGCTAATAATAATATTGTTTAGTTCAATAAATTTTCATTCGTTTTGCTTCGTTCCTTTGTTTTATTCTACTTAAGGCTTGAAGTTTATGATACGAATTAATTACGCTACTTGTCAATGTTGTCATGAATTCTGATTCCAGATCAGGAAAACGTATACCCGGTGCCTTTCATGATCAGCACGAATTTTGCGATTAGCGATTTAATTTATTTATTGTTATTTACATTGAATTGACATCACTAGCGTTACACTTGGCCGCGTCAGTGTGTACGTTTTTGTGTTTGTGTACACAGTTATATTTAAATTAAACAATTCTCAAATATATTCAATTATCAAATTTTTAAAGGGTATAAAATTCGTGTTTGTTTCCATCTCGCATTAGTAGTTTTTTTGAATTTTGTGGAAACAGTTATCATCATTCATCATCGTTCGCCATGAATAAGTTATTCTTCGTAATTGGACTCTTCATTATCTCGGTAAATGTGAAAAAAAGGATATTGTATAAATATATTTTATAAATATTTATATAAGTTATATATATATTTTTTTTTATAAATTTGAAAAGACAAGAAGAAGAAGAAGAAGAAAAATGAAAAAAAAAAAAAAACTCACTTATATATTTTTTTTAATTTTTCAAATTCCTTTTGGTTTTTATATCCGTGAACGTATATTAATATATATATGTACATTTCCTTTTTTTATATGTATATAAATTAATGAATTCAAGTGAAATCGATTACGATTTAAATGTTAAGCAATAATTTTCATAAACATTTGTTTACTAAAAATGATCCTTTATCCCTATCGTGCACATTTTCTATGCATTGCCTGGCTTTGCTTATAAATAAAGAAATTTACGATTCATTTCTTCCAAATAGTCGAGCGTTACATTCCATCGCCTCATAAGATGCACTACTACTACTACTACTACTACTACTACTACTGTTTGCTTTTCTTATCTATCACATCTACAGCCGGTCTATTATTTTGTACTCTTTGATCGGTCATGATCGATTTTATGTTAGACGATTATATCATAACAATTTTTAACGATGTACATATATATATATATATATATATATATATATAGCTGTGCACATAGCAACTGTAGGATTATCTATGTTCTTAAGAGTCCTTTCATTTTGTAAAAAGATTTTGTGTATCGACTCATACACACTGAATTTGCATGGTTACCTTTCCGGTTATTAGGCATTAAAAAAATATTTGATCCTTTTATTGACCCTAAATAAATCAACATTTTCTATCGAGTGTCTTGCATATACATATATATATATATATATATATATATCAATTTTTTTTTTTCTTTTTTGATTGCTCGGTCTTCTAATTTAATATCAGCGAGGTTTGATTATCTTCTCTTAAAAGTTATTAAACGTTTCACTTCTCATGCTAAAATCGGCTTTAATGCAACATAATTTCTTCGACAATATTATCCTTTCTCTCCCTCTCTCTCTCTCTCTCTCTCTCTCTCTCTCTCTCTCTCTCTCTCTCTCTCTCGTCATCAATATATATTTTGGGGTTTTTTTCTTTTTCTTTCAAAAATTCTTTTTCTTATTACAATAGATATTAATTTTGAACCCTCATCTCTACTATCAAGTTTGGCTTTTCGTTTATAAGATTTGGAAATACCTACCGGAAATCCCATAGATCAGCATGCTTAGTCTTGATCAGTGCAAGATTTCAAACTAATTTGGGGCAATATCTATCCATTTATTCATATAAGTCCATCTGTGACGATCGTACTCGTTAATTCAAAATGTTAATGCGAACAGCTTTGCTCACTGATGCACTGCAGTATGTTTCTCCGGCGAGACATAAGTGAATATCTTCAACTTTGAAAAAAAAGAGAGAGAGAAACAAAAAAAAAAAAAGAAACATTCCCTAAAGAACAAACAAAAAAGACACGCCCCATCATGATATCCCTAACCATCCCCATACTGTCCCATATAGATTCTCTGATACGTATTTGAAAGTGTTATGGCGTACCCTTCATTTCTCCTATTATTCCAAGCACAAGCTGAAAGTTAATAAGAAAGTTATCAAGATTAATTGGCTTCAAAGCCCACCGAAGAGGAAGCCGCAAAGAAGGGTCTGTGCGTGTTGTTATGACGTATTATTTACAATGTCCAGGCGCCCGTTCCAGATATCGCAAAAAAAAAAAAGCTCATACTCAGCTGATCACTTCTTGAAAGAACGTATTCTTAACGAATTCTTCCGTTTCAAAACATTATTCCATTTTTTTTTTTCAAATCATGCCCTATGCATGGATATAAGCTCTCAATCGGTGAGCGTCACCGCTGTTCCTCCGTCCTCGAATCGATGTAAAATACGAGATAAGATAATATTTGGATACAAATTAATGAGATATAATAAATCCAATAGACGAATGCCGAGAAGGCTTCGATTTGAAGGTTAAAACATTTTAAAAAAAACATAAATTATGAATGGCAGCAACAGAAGTGAAGTGAAGGCCTATACATAGAAGACATAAAGTGATTCTAAAGAATTCTTCTTTATATAATTTACTATAGCCTATTAGCAATGAAGAATATCGATTTTAGCTTTGATTAAACTTTAATCAACACTTTGGGAAAAGTTAAAAATAAGAAAAAGAAAATATTTTTAATAAAATTTAAATAAAAATATTGATTGCAGTTTGCTTCCGCACGAGTTGTACGCGAGGCTCCAGCGAAACCCGAATTCTCATTCGAAAGTTTCTTTAAAACAACTCAGGAACATTTTAAGGAAGTAGAAGAGGCTATCTTAAAAACGATTGGCGCTTCTAATCCCGACGATGTAAAAAGAATTGTCGAACAACAAGGTCAAACTTTAGCCAAACAATTTGATGTATGGGCCGATCATATCAAAAAAGACGTAAGTAAGACACATCCTTACTTCCTATTCATAAATGAATAGAACGAAATGCTTTCAGTACGCAATCCTTAAAGGATTAAAAAAAAAAAAAAAATAAAAAAAATAAAAAAAATTCTTTACTCTGCTTACATCTTTTCACATTCGCATTGTTCGCGATCGTCGATGCTGAAAACATTTATTTACTTACTTTACTTGTATCTTATTCTATCTATTAATTAATATTTGCATTTTACAAAAATATAGACCGAGGAATTAAAGAATTTATCGGTTGTGAAGGAGTTGCGTGAGACCGTTGAAAATCGAGTCGAAGAATTTAAAGGTGAACATCCGCAAACAGCGGCCGATATAGAACAATATATTGGAAAAGCTAAACAAGATGTCGAGGATATTATCAGTAAAATAAAAGCGTTAAGCGAATCGAAGGAGGCGGAGAATATTAAAAATGTTTCGCAGAAATTAGTCGACACGGCTAAGGATGCTTTTAAAGATCTAGCGGAATCGATTAAAGAAAGTGTTAATAAAACTGAATAAATTATAAACATTTCTTATGTATCTTTATTTCATTACCATAACATGCTACTATACAGGCAGTTTGTGTGTGTGTGTGTGTGTGTGTATGTATATTTAGGAGATCAAATTTTCAATATCTTGGTCTAGGCTTAACTTCACGTCGCCCACAATAGTCAGCATTATTAAGTTTAATTTAAAGTGCATTGGCGGTCATCACTAACTCGACATAGACAAATAAAGATAAATTATCGACTTACAAGAGTACCGCTTATCGCGATTATCCCCATTAATTGAACAATATTGAAAACGCTAACGCAAATTCTTACTCATCATCGAAATTCAACGTGAATAATGTGTAGGAAGAATGGATGTTACCCATGGATGCGTCAGAATCGAATTTGACTTGAACATGAGCGTAGTAAGTATTAATGCTGGATAGATTTGCATATCAAATTTAACAACTGGCAAAGATTTTAAATTAATAAATCATTTTGAAAATTTTCAATTCTTGAATTTACTTTTTCAAATAATATGGGTAAGATGATCGATCACTCACTTATCCTATTTCCAAATTATCTTACTTTCGTACTTAATAATAAGGATTTGTTGCAATAAATTCCTTCTTTTTATATAACAAGGCGATCAATCATATATATATATATATATGTATATACATATATGCGGTGCATGGGATTTCGGAATCTTACGTCTCTTATCAAAGAGAGATAATACGATTATCGCGATTTGAAATGTAACGCTGATCAAATTCTTATTTACTTCATAGCTCTCTAACGTGTAACTATAATAACATATCGTTGACAACTTGGCAATGACTTAATGATAGGATGGTTGTCTCGCAACGAGATGAGTTCAATTAGTCGCCAAGATTATGTTAAATATTTATCCTTGGGATCATCCAGAAGTTACTGTGCATCTGAATAACTAATAAACACTTGATGACTTCAAAGAATCGATGGTCGCGATCATTTGACAACAATTTTGTATTATATCTCATCTTCAGAGCGTTTGCTTTCGAAAGATACAAAAATTATACTAACTAGGAAACACATATATAAAAATTTTTTTCTATTTTTTATTTTTTTTTTTAAGTACTTTATGAATCAACTTGCACAGAGTCCTCCCTTGAAGCACGCTACTTATAGCTCATTTTTTATACACAAAAAAAAAAAAAAAGAAAAACTACTACTACTACTTTGCCACTACCCAATACAACGCTTTGTTTAACACAATTTATTCATATATCGACTGGACAAAATAAGCTATTATGTGGGAATTGGTCGAAAAAACGGTCCGATTCGAAACATATTCTTGGGACAAAACTCGTCCTTTTAATATCTCAATAATTGTGAGTTGTGTGTTAACCCCTCGTTCTGTATCTCTTCTGAATCGATCGATAAGCTTGCTGCTCCGTCTGTCCGTTCTGGATGGGTCGATTTATCCCAAAATCTTTTGGGCAATATATAGGCGTCCGCATAAACTTAATAATCGTTTGGAACGTAAGAAGTGACTTAGTATATAATAATTAATTAATTAAGTATTCGTTCATATACATATACAAAAGGCATATTAAACAGTTGAAGCAATATGTATTTAAATTTTATTTGAATAAAATATCGACTGAATTAAAATTATATTTTGTTTTTGTTTTTGTTTTTGTTTTTTTTGTTTTGTTTTTTATTTGTTTATGCAAATCCAAATCCTTCTGAGCACTCATGAATTGCCTTCAGTAGAGAACTACGAAGTTTTTCATATGATTTGTACATCGGCAAATCCAATTGATTAAAACTAATGGATGAGAGACGACAAATATAAAAAAATTAAAAATTAAATCAAATAAAAAAAAAAAAAAAAAAAAAAAAAATCTGTTGCTAACTGTTGTTATTCATTATATATGTTGTTATTAAACGTACCAAGTGTGCGCGCAGGGTAGTCTGTCTGTTGATCGATCGTCGCGATGAATCTGAAACTTTTGTATACCATTCATGCCCTCAAGAGATCCGAATCCTTGTAAAGGAACTTTTGATGTTCCCGTAACAAATTGTAAAAATTTGGCTCGATCCGCTTGGTCAAAACTACGCAAAGCTCTCCAAAACCATTGAATCTGAAATGAAATTTAAATAAAAATATATTTTATATAATGTATTTTAATAATATTGAAATCAACTGTAATAATATAATATATATATATATATTTGTTGTAATGCAGTCATCACTCTTTTCAAGAAATCTATACAACACTAACTTCTCACTCTATGTACTCTATGGTACGTACGTACGTACGTCTTATGTCATTAATCAGATGAAATTATTTTTCGACCACTTGCAATATAAAGCCCGGCCTATTTTGAAAAGTCATTCATTTTATGAAATGACTGTATAAACCGAAATGATGTATGATGCTATTCAACGATGGGTGATCATATCTCACTATAGCGTTTTTATCAATGTTTCAATCAATAACTTGAATATGTTGTTTTTAAATGATTTTTGATACTCAATCCATACCTGTAGCGATTTCGATGTGTATTTATGATATTCGGTATTCGATTTTAAATCTTCTATATCAATGTCGGGAAGACCGGATATTAAGAGCTCAAGTTCTTGTTCATTGAAAATTGATATAAGCTGTTTCGGTATTATATCATAAAAGCCTTCCAAAAATGCATCCAATCTAAATATTAAGAAAATAATTTATATTATTATATATAGAAATAGTTTGTAAATAATAAAATGAAAAAAACAAAAAAAAATTGAAAATTTATTTAAAAATTACTGTTGTCTTATCGAGCCACTCATTTTCAATTGACAAACCAATTGAACATAATCAAATTTATTCTCTTCAGTCACAGGTATATTGCGGCCATTTGGTATAAGATCGCGCACTTGTGTAACACCAAATTCTTGCACTTCAGTCGAAAAAGTCAATTCATATCCTAAAGTTGTTATATCGTTTTTCATCAAATAGTCTAAGCCCTTATAGAACTCATAGTCTTGAGACTCCATGTCAGTATGTTTAACTTGCTTTCCAAGTATATGTTTATAAAATGCTCTTGTAAAATAGCATTCGAGCAACTTGTTATCATGTATTGCTTTCGCTATGAATAAGAATAAAAAAAAGTTAGCAATAATTTTTACAATTTTCATTTTTTTAAAACGAAAATGAAAAAATTGAATGAAAAAATATGAAACTCATCATTATACGTTACCTATTAAACGACCAACAAATTTAAAGTAACTTAAGTGATTTGGATTGGCATGGCTAGATGGATTTATCATATATGTTACACGATCTCCGGGGGAAACACAAAATAGGGCATACATGGGATTAAAAATTTCCCTTGATATAATAATGTACCATTCACGCAACAATCCTCCTGCATCTTGTCCTTCCTCATCTAAAATAAATGAATGAGAAAAATTAACGCCAATTATTAAATTATTAAAATAAATTAAAAAAAATGTTTTTTTTTTTCGCTTTCAAAGCCTTAACTAACAACCTATCATTACATCAGGCTTTGCCTGCCGATTCAAAAACGTTCATTACTATTAATTGTTATGCCCACAACACCTCAATGAGGAATGTGGTTAGACGACCGGGTTGTTCGAAATATTCAGATATATAAAGGCACCCGCACCCACACACACATAATACACACATAAATACATAATATGCTATCTGTCTGTCCGTCCGTAAGTACTTAATAGATTTTTATGCCATTTTTATGGTTTGTGCAAATATAGCACAATTTGATTCTAAAAATGCTCTCAATCGAGTAAATGACACGCCCACATTTAATAAGATATTACCACTCTAAGAATATTTTCATATATAGAGTCCATTGATAGACTTTTAACATTATTTTTTTTATAAAGGTTTAATAAGCATTTGTAATCTACGAGCCAACGCTGAAATTCATTTTGAAGTTCCAAGCCCTCCTTCTCTAAGCGTGAGGAGGGAATGTTAAGGGTGGGATTCTATTGTTTTTTTTTTTTTTTTTTTTGTATTAAAATCGAGAGTTTATCGTAGAAGAAATTATCAACAAATTTTTTATTCAAAATATTATCGACTGCTATTCTGCTACGTCTTCCATCTTTTGCGGTGCAATATGAGTCCCGTATTAAAAGGCTATCGGGTTTTACGATGTAATCTGCAAAAAGTCTAATCTTTTGAGTATCACGATGCCTTGCTCGAATAGACAATAGACAAGTCATCGGTTATTAGAGTCAGAAGGTGTTATATTTGATGACACAACGTCTCCTTCCTGCTCGACTTTTGTCGTATGGGACACTAAAAACGCTACCATGCTAAAATATAAGCTCATAGGTATCAGTCGTTTGCGAGCACGGATCGTCAATGGTGTTGTTGTTTGACAGGGTGAATCTCAATAAGCCACGCCCATTTATCCCCAAATGAGAATCGATAGGAATATTCAGCTTTATCGTCGATGCTGATTGCTCGTCTAGTCTGCATTCTTTCTATTTTTGGTTCGGATATTTTACTCTGTCGATTTTTCATTAGCCGTCACGATTTACTAGCTAGCACTTTCCTTTATAGTAAGCAAGAAAAGCAAGGTTTACTACGTTTGACGTTCTTTGGCATAGCCCTCAAACTAATCAGATCTCGAAAATTGTGCGTTGGTTTTTGAACTTAAGGAACACAATTGACACTGATAGGTAGGTGAAGCTTAAAGATAGGACTTTTAAGCGGAGTAGACAAAATTTCATTTAGCATCCTATACTTGTGTTCGTTGGTTGTGGTTGTTTATGCATACACAAGACTTCCTATTTTATTTTAGTGTGCAAAGCGTGCCTATTATGTTGGTTATCTTGTGCTAGGAGATTACAAACTTGACGTAGCCATTTTTTAAAAAACAAAAAATTAGCGGTTCTCTCTAAGGGAAGCGGACCCCCAACAATTTGCAGCCATGCCTCTCACTTATGCTCAATTCCAAACTCTGCCCACTTTTAACTTGGATTGTCTTATATGAGAGACGACGGAGCATAGACATAGAATTTCAAGTTATATCATCAAGTTCAGTAGTATGGTGAATAAAAAAAAAAAGTCGATCAGTGCATTGATGCTTACCTTCGAATACAATATAAAAACGATTTTTCCACTCTTCCGGTGTTAGTCTATAAAGTGCACGGAAGGAATCTTCAAAAACAGATGCGCGACGCACACTGACTGTGTTTTCCTCACGCCGAACACCTTCATCAATGCGCTCCAATTCAGTATGAAAATATTTGCGCTTTACGTCAAAATCTAAGATTCTCGTATGATCAACAAGTACGGCGAAGGGACCATCGGAAAGATGAACGGGCGATTGCCGTAAAATTTGGTTTAGCACAGTACGATGTTTCTCAGCGAATTGTAAGAATTTTTGACGATCACATTGAAGTTTGCTTTTTACCAAATTGTCTTCCCCACCATCCTCTTCCGGTGACTGCGTGCTGTTGTCCTTGCCTGATACGTGAAATAGAATATTTTTGTATTAATGATCACTATGTGTTTTTTAGTTGGATTATAAATAAAAGATAATTTTGCACAAAATAAAATATAAAAAACTACCGCTTAGGTAACCCCTGGGGATAGAGATTCCCAAAGGTCAGGCGGTTTAGTTATTTTAAATGACGGAGCTCCGCTACATTACTTAGTACACTTAGCATACACTTACTGCCATTGATGTTTCTCCGATTGCAGCTCTGATTTGATGCCAAATTTGGCATGGTCCTGTTTGGATATGCCAGATGCTAGTGATCATTACCCTGGTACTGATTTCAAATCGCACTTTGACTTATGGCAAATTATTCATTTCGCAATTGCTTCTTAAATATGCCGATAAGACATTATTTCGATCTGTGTTGGTTCAGTTTAACTAACTTTTTCAAGATTCTAGTGATGTCAATAAAGAAGCTGCGCAAATAGAATGTCCTTTCCGAAGAGTCACCAATAACTCGATCCTTACCAGTAGAAAACCATCAAAGTAAAAATGTTACTATTTGGCATAACAGCACTATCGCTAATATAATATCTCCGAGCTTCAAGTCCTGGAGGAAGTTAAAAAGGCATCGCTCTCAACAGAGCGGAATTTTGTACAGAGGAGGGTCATGGTCAAGAGAGAGAGAGAGAGAGCGACAGATCGCCAAAATACAATTTTTTTCTCAATTCTCTTAACCCTTACTTTTGATACTCGCATGCTCTAGAGAAGAGATTAAAAAGATCAAAAAGATCTACATCCCACAGATGTGCCAGGAAGGACGCTGATCTGTTCTGACAGTTTTAGTGTTATCAGAGCAATACAATTTAATCGCAACAGTATTTTTGATCACATATTATCCCCAGCATACCGACATCAAGAATCTTTGGATTCCGTGAGCAGGCAGATGTGATTGCCACGCGACGCTTCTAACAATCTGACATATCTGAACCGTGCTGTCTCCCTAAGGCGATCACTTCGCCATATAGATAGGTCCATTAAAGCCGATATTAATTTCTACAATCAATCATTCCCTTCACACCTTCACAGGGCAGACTACAATAATCCCTTTACCCGAACCATGCCCGCCTTAGACCGAATAGTAGGGTCTTATACATTACTAAGCGTTATAATGAACGAACTGAGTCTGCCTCCCAAACGTGTTTCAGGCTATGCCTTCCCTCCTATCGATCATATTTTTTCCGAATGTCCTTTATTAAAAATTAGCAAACTGTTTGAAAGGAATGCTTGATAGTTCAAGAGCAAACATGATTCCCAGAATTCGCTTTCCTATCCAAATACACGAAACTCTTGATACCTAAGCTTACAATGCTATTTATTAAAAATGCAAAGATCTAGGAAATCTATAATCGAGAAAAACTTTAAGAAAAATATTAGCGGTAGGAAAGTAATCGGATCACCGTCTGCACCTTGCTTTTGCTTGAATGTTGCAAAAGATATAAACACATGACTATATACCTGCGGCAACGATCGCATATATGCTTTGAGTAACAATTTTGAAAAAGCGAATGATTCTTCTTCTTTTTTTTTTTATATATATATCGAAGGCTAGAAATACTTTTTCCAGCCATTAATGTAGTGCACGGGGACGAGGAGCAAAAAACTGTTATGAAATTAGCAAAGTGAGAAATGCTTTTAAATATCGATTTGATATAATCGATACGGAAAAGAACAATGGCATGCATCCAGATGCATTCGGTTAGTAAGTTTACCGGCCCGACTACAATAAAAATATATTTCGCTGTATATTAATAACATAATAACTTATATAATACTTACTATTATCTTCCGATAAAGTATTGGTAACTGCATCGGGTTGTGTGCATTTAGTATCCGAATTATTGGCATTACTTGCATCGTATGAAGCGTGAATTAGGAAAAAGGCTTCAACAGTTGGTTGCAATACAAGTACGGCATACTCATCCTTTGATTCTTCCAATGAAACAAGACATTTACTTAGCGTACTCCAGAGCTCATTCAAAGAAAGAATTTCGCTCAAACATAATTTCTGCTTAGACCGATACCAGTTATTATGTGCGTCCAATAAATTGTTTATCTAAATCAATCAATCAATCAATCAAAATAATTTATTTATTTAATTAATTGAATTACTTTTCTTATTTGCAAGCAGTTAGTAGCAGTTTTAGTAAAGAATGCAAATAATTATTACCTGAATAAAAATCTTCAATGTTCGTAGAAAGTAAAGCTGAGCGGATAGCGGAGATAATAGATACTTTATGGCAGATAATTGCAATTCGCAGGCTGGTTTTGGATCGCTGGGCGATGATATAACAATTGGTTGTGCCGTAAATCGATCTTGCATTAAACCATTAAATAATGAAAGGCATGATAGCTTTTGTTCATATTCAAAAGTTGTATTGAATTTGACAGTGTTATGATATACAAGCAATTCATCTAACAAAGCTTTTATCTCATTTTGAACCTGCTCCGCCAAACCCATAATAGCCGAACGCAAATAATATGATAAAACAACGTTCGAGTAATGCGAGCATTGACACATATTAAAAATTAACTTTGACATATTCTCTAATCCCTCGTTCGTTCCACACTTATGCGTTAAAACCTCTATCAGAGTTACAAAATATGGGAACATTTTCGAGTAAAGTTTAGGATGCTGTTTAATTTTATCCTTCGTATCTTCCGCATTATCCGTTTTGCTATCTTCTTCTTGTTGTTGTTGTTGTTGTTGTTGTAATAACTCACCCTCAGGATGTATCTTCTTGAAATAGCTTTTTATTTCCATTTTACTTGCGTCTGTCACACCGCTATCTTCTTCAGGGAGTTCAGAGCTAAGTGAAGCTAACAGCTTTAATAGTAAATCGGTTAATTGTGGCGAGCGTCTAATTATTTTAAAGGATAACATATCTAAGAGTTTCGCAAATGCCGAATCGTTAAATGATATAAATTCGGAATTTGTAGCTTTCCATTCCCATGGCGGTTGCGAGAACAATGGAAAGAGCGACGTACGGGAGAAACGTAAATTAGCATAAATTTCTGTATTTAATAGGACTTTCCAAAAGTCAGTTGAGTTTGTATTATATTTAAAGTCACCCGATGTTAAGCCCTTTTGGGACTTGCCAACCGCTTTAGAAGTGGACGGGTATTCATCAAGTACTCTAGACTCTCCAAATTTAGCCTTTAAATTGCTCATCGATGTGGGTATATTTAAATCCTCTTTCCCTTTGAATAAATGCCTTTTCCTTTGCTATTAAATATTGCGAGAAAAATTAAATTAAATTAAATTAAAAATCAAATTTCCTTTTTAAAATTAAAAATTTTAAAATTTAAATGAAATTTTAAAATACGTGTTTTTGCTTAAAATGATTATTGCATAAAAGATTTTTATTAATATTTAGAACGAAAATATAATATCGAATAGAATATACGTAGTACCTTTCTTTCTGTGGATACGGGTAAAAAACTTTTCGGGAATTGCTTGGCCAATGCAAACAGGATATCTAAACAATTTTTAACGACTTGCTGTGATGCCTGAGGATTAATGCTTATGGTGTAATCATCCTGACATTTATTTAAAATAAATGTGTTTGATTTAAAGCCAAACGCGGCGTCCACTTTCAATTTCAGCCATTGTGGTTGCACTATTTCAGTACCGGCCGACCATAAGCATGAACTCGTTGCATATTCTATTATATTGATTAGGGCATTGATTATCCAATTTCGGATGGGGACATGATAACATATATTTCGTATGATACGATGTAAACGGGTATAGCTAAATTTACTATCTTCAATAAATAAAAATAGTAGAAGAGTAGACAACGTATCTGGATCAGGTAGATTATTAAGATCTTCCATCAATAGCAATGTCAATGGCTTTCCACAATTTTGCTGCTGATGTATAACAGTAGTGCGTTGATGACGTGCGGAATTTAAACCGTTCGGATCACTCCAGATTGTATTGTTTTGCCAACGCGATTCCTCGTTTAGATTTTGCGTGGATGCGGATAAACGGCTCGATAAATATCCATCTGAAAGACATTCAAGCGGTTGAGGTTAAGCTCGCAATGAACATAAGTGCTGTTAGTAAAGACTGATCTTAAATAAAAAAAAATAAAATAAAAGAGAGTCGTATTGCGATTGCAATAAGGAAAGCGTAGAAGGATTTGTTTTTGTGTGCTTGGTTTGGCGAAAAGTTGGAGTAAAAAAATTAGGATTTAGGAGACTTCTAAAGCCCAAGTAACGATAACATACTTATTGGATTTCTTTGCATGTCTAAACGCGCTCCATTTCTACTTTCCCAATCTCTTCGCAAATGTTGCGCCTCAGCTGCCAAGTCCGGCGGTAGACTCGATATCTGAGAGTCTTCCATGTCAGCTAAAATCTATAAATAAACAATTACCGACATATATATATATATATATAGTTTAATTCATCAAATCATTTTTATTTTATATTAAAAGACTTAGTTGGAAATGCTTTCATAAATCTTACCGCTTGACGGAGTGTTTCTGGTAAGTTTTGGAAGAAGGCGGCCGTGTCTACTGGATCTTCGGGATTTGTCGATTGCGCTGCCTGACGCTGTTGCTCAATTCTTTGCTGCATTAAAACTTCAGTTTGTATATTTGGCGGCAGTGCAGCTAAAAATTCTGGACTAACTTCGGACAAAGTGTATTGATTCGATTGAACTTCAGAATTTTGTGGCCTTTGAACGAAACGCTGCATTCTTATATGTTCTTGAATTACTTCTTCTCTCATTTCGGTTGGTAATGCAGCTAAAAATGACGGATCGACACCTTCGGGTATTTCCAAGTCACCAAGTACCGCTTGAATTTCGGGCGTCAATTCTGTGTTGCGCGTAGACGATGCACTTGTCGAAGCTTGTGTCGTAACGTTTGCTTCTTGCGCTTCCGGTTTTGGGGCTGCTGGCGTCTCATTCAGATTCATGTCAGTAAATTCAACAGCCATGATATTAGATGGTGGCGGCTCTGCTACTGTATTTATATCGACATTTGTCCGAACCAAATTTGGCATAAGGGAATCTGCTCTATCCTCTGGAGTTTCTGATAAGGTATTCTATAATATTGTTTTCGAAAAGATTTATAAATGAACTTTTCAACTCGTATGTAATCCTTAGGTAACTAACAGAATTGCTTTTATCTAAATTATGGCTTGAAATTTTACTTTATAATAAATATTTCAATGGAATTTAAAAAGACATGTTTTTTTCTTAACTGGGAACAAATCGATCCATTAATTGATTGTCAGTCAGAATGTCTAATGAAATAACTGTTTTCGAATTAATTTTTTTTTTGCTTAATACTAGCGGGGAATCGAAAGTTCTTACGTTCAGAATTTAGTAATGCAACGATCAAGATCGTAAGTAGAAGCCTGAAATTTGGGGGATTCGTCCTCGTAATACCATTTGGCAAATCTTTTTTAATTAATTTATCTTTTAACAAAATAAATCGTTCCCTACTATCAACTCTGTGAGATTTTATTGAATACACACTAACAATCAATTCCGTATGCAATTGAATAAGAAAATCTCTCGTCTCTTCTAGTAGCAAGAGATATATAATGGATGGTACGTGTGTGTAAAGAATCCAAATTAAGAGAATATTTTTCATTTTCTACCTGTGAATTTTCATTAGAGCCACAATCCATATCTACACTCCGTACCGGCTCTTCTTCCGTAATCGATGTTGAATTCTGCTCAATATCTTTGCTTTCCTTGCTAAATTCTTCTTCTTCTTTTATCTCATTATCTATAAATGAGTTACTAGTTTCTTCCAGGGTATCGGAAAGTGGCTTTTGAGCTGCACTTTCGTTCGCGTCTGAAATTAAAATAATAAAAATTGAAGAATTGAAATGAGGTACGGCGACATATTTGATTAGCGACTTATTTCGAATCGATTTAACTATATTCACGATAAACACTCGATTCATCGCATCGGATAAAAGAAATTTGCAATGTAATTGGACCAATTACAACAATTTTAAAAAGTCGTTCATAAAATTCAAGACTAACTATACAAGCGCTTAGTTTCAGCTTTCCATCTAGACTTTTGAGAATTAAAGCAAAACGAAAAACGGACGCAGCACAGTTCAGTCACAAGTTTATGCTCATAAAAAAAAAAAAAAAAAAAAAAAATTCACAAATTACTTAGAGACACAAAGGACATTAGAAATGCCATAAAGAACATTAGCAAATTATTTTATGGGCAATTTTGAACACAGTATCACGCCTAACAAGTTAAAATATTTTCACCGAATTTTTCTATTCTAGCCCAACTTTTATAGGATAAAAAGTACATAAGATTGGCAATGGATCTCCTTGCTCAGCATTCAGAACGGACTGCTTTACTTTGAGAAGAAATTTCCATTTCGTTTATGAAATTTCCATACTTGTGAAAGTGCTAAACAGCAGCAGAAGGACACTTATACGGCTCTGATATATAATTTCCATGTAGTGTCATTAAAAGCATTTCGCAATTTTTCGATCGGAACATATAATCTATATAATATATAAAAATTGTTTATAGAATAGCAGCGTACCTCCTCTTCCATCTAATTTCTTCATATCTACACTCGCTTGAAGACTGCTGCTTGATGATTGTGTAGGAACCGGAATGGAACTCTTTTTACATTCAGACTTACATAGTTCGGTTTTCCTTTTCAGAAGCATGTCCTTAACCTTGATTAAATGCACTATCAAATGATGTGCAACCTGAAGACAAGCATCCATATGGGTTTCAGGATCCGAGTATTTGGCTTCTTCCAACCACCAGTGCAGCGCTGCATAAAAAAAGAAAAAAAAAAAATAGCAAAGAAAAATTAAAATTATAATTATAATTACGTCAGATAATTAGATAAAATAACGAATAAAATATATGAAAAATCTTATTAATATTAAATCGGGGCTATTAGTAAAACTTCACATTTTCAGTAACTTTCTTGCTTATTGTTCTATTGTTTTGATAAAAAATATTAACGCCCATGTTCCTTATAAATTGAAAAGCGCTCTTCTGGAGCGTCGTTGTTCTATTACAAAAAAAAAAAAAAAAAAAAAAAAAAAGATTACCATCCGATTTCAAGCGAATCTCCTGCCTTAGTATACCGAAACTAATACTTAAACGTTATTGCATCATTTACGAGTACGCAAGTTAGATCAGGTGAACAATTCTTTCAAATTCGCCTTTTTATTGCCTTGTGAAAAATTTTAAATGAAACTGTACTATAGAACATGAGTTATGTTTCTATCATTGCCGACGCGTAATCCAGATTTGGATTAATATTAATTGTCGTTAGTAAAGGATTTCGTTGGTATATGTCAACTAGCTGAAGATGGAGAACGAATTAGCGGAGAGACAAAGATGGCTAAATGGGCTTAGTAACATATCCGGTTCATGAATACAAATATTCCATAGGATCGCATTGCTCCTTTTGGTAGTGGAGGTATAAAACTTACAAAACCACAAATTTTATTCAATATGACGATTCTTCCATTTACGCTGCGCTGCTTAAGAATATAAGTACAAATTTAATAAAAAAAAAAAAAAATACCTGACATACAAAATCCTAGTTGTTACCGAAGAAGCAAATTGTTCATCTCTAAAATTCTTAATATATTCAATAAGTGCAAAATTGCACTTTTAATAGAGATATTGTGTAAAAGTTTCAAGCTGTTGAGGATAGTTTTATAAATATACAAATACAAAATACATTGCAGACCAAAATAAGTGAGAAAAAAAAAAATTTTTGTGAATGTGTGTGTGTGTGTGTGTGTGTGTGTGTGTGTGTGTGTGTGTGTGT